GCTCAGGATACAGGGATTGTGAAATATTTTTTCCTGTTACAAAAAAAACGCATTACTACCGACTCCATGTTGAGAGGAGCAGAACAACAACACAATCAATTTCCCACATTCACTGTATGAATCCTACAGAGAAGCCCTCGAGCCTGAAATAGCTGCTCTCTCCTCTGAACCTACATATTTTCCATCTCTGCCTCTTCTTACAAGTAAAGCACTATATAAAGGCTCGCTCTCACCAAACAACACAAACATGCACACAAGGGAGAGCTGCTTTGTTAGCAGGCATCAAATAGTGACCTCTATTACTGTTACTGCTAAGATGATGTAGAAATCAAGAACAATGGGAAAATAGGCAACAACATAAGGGTCATTTGTTGCTGCTTTTAATGATGAGGAATGTGTAGATTATGTGAAAAATGTAATGGGGAGGTTTAGATTTAACCAGAATGAAGAAGTTTGTGGGGCGTGAGTGCATATTAATGACCCGAGGAGAATGGAGGAGTACACTTTTGACAGATAAGAGCTTTATCCACAGAACAGTAATTGCATTTTTTCTTGCATTTTTACATTTCATCTCTTTTTGTTTGAAAAAGACTTCCAGGCTTTAATTTGCCTCCCTCAGATATCCTTTTAGAGACGGAACCTTTAGTGAACATCAGGCCCACAGCAACTAAAAGGCATCACTCTGCTTGAATGATTTCACGGACTGAACTCAAATTAGATCCAAGATTCCTCTTTGACCCGCTCGCATCTGAAGGAACCACAAACATGTTATGGCATCCATCTGTCCTTTCATGCCTCTTGAGTTCAGACAAAGCTGTGATAGATTCTCCACCGGCCTCCCACACGACTTCACAAAACCTGCAAACTATGATCAAACCAAATGTCATCTTCAGTGTTGCATGTACTGTAAGTAAACAGCTAGATCAATCATCCTTCCTGTCAGAACTGGATTGATGTGTTTTCACACAATGGAGGCTTCGCACTCTAGTTAAAAATGTCAATAAGTCGAAGCTGTCATGCTGCAAAGTAGCTATTAGGATAGAGATGGAGATGGTTAATCATTATCTTTACTGCATTGTGTGTTCATTTTGTGTGGAGATAAACTATTGTAGCATGTTGGAACATTTTTTGTTGTTGTTGTCACTAAAGCATTGAAACATTTGGGAAAGGAGGAGCTACGAATCCCAGGTTTCTGTGCTCGCTCTCAAAATAGCACTTGAGTCACATCTGATGCTGTTTGTTGCTGACCACAGACAGACTTTCAAAGTAATCTTCTAAATCTTTTTAATCTCTCATCGTGGATGTAGCCCGGCCTACTTACACGGACAGAATTGTGTCGGTTCTTACAAGTGCTGACCTTAAGCTCGAAAGAGTATAGTGTATGAGGGAAGGATGAGGGATTTAGTCAGAATATTAATTTAATGTATTGATTCCTGAGGATAAATTCTCTTGAGCTTCCTTTGCAGCGGGGGGGTCAGAGATCAGGATTAGTTGTAGCATCTGGTTTGTTAGAGTCAAGGTCCTGGAGGTTGGATGTCACAGAACGATGCGGGGCTTACACTGGATTTAAGATGGTTACAACACACAATAGATTATAGCGAAGCTTTAGTTCTACAGCGACGTTGTCGAACATTTAGAAATATTATTCACATGTACAAAGTACGTAAATATATCGATTTTAAAGCACATCTTTAGCATATCAATATAATTACTATATAACATGGCTGCGTTCCAACAATATAATTACTATATAACATGGCTGCGTTCCAACAATATAATTATTATATAACATGGCTGCGTTCCAACAATATAATTACTATGCAACATGGCTGCATTCCAACAATATAATTACTATGCAACACGGCTGCGTTCCAACATTTTCAGGTATGTTTGCAACATAATTAAACAACTGTTGATGATTTAAATAATCCTTCCAAACGGTCTGCCAGTGCATAACGAGAGCAGCAGGTGCTGATCAGGTGGCATAAGACTCAATCTTCTCGGTTCAATGTGCAACCTTTGTGATGACAGTTGGGTCTTAATAAATTTAATTCTCAAATAATCTTCAATAAAGTGTCTGCTGTTTGTACACAGCAAAGAGATAATTAGACAAAACTAATTTATTTACCACCAGATTGAATGTAATGTAACAGTTTCTTTCATTGTCAGAATCAGTGTCACTCAACTTCTTGTCTTCTCTTCTTGAATTTCTTGAATTTTTATTTATTTCTAAACAGACTGTAGCCTATCCCAGCATGCACTGGGTGAGAAGCAGATTTCAAAGATTCATTTTCATCTTCAAACCGACACTTGGGATGCTGTCACACAGAACTTTGACCAGGTTGTGGGAAAGAATTCGCCTTTTTCTGCAGAGCCCCAAAGCAGTTCAGTCTGTGAACTCGCACCAGTATTTCAGAGCGAGCCACATTGCTGTCAGTGAATTTCCGACCAGCAGGAATATAAAATCTGCCAGTTGATGGAAGAAAAAGTAAAAAAGTACTTCCTGGAGCCAGAAGAAGCTAATTTTGAGTCGTTGCATCAGAATTGGGTTGCCTTATTAACATTCAGCACATTCAAAGATCAGATCTCTGGTTTCAAGCTTTAATGAAAAACTTGCTGCATAATTACGTAAAGTGGAGTTTAGCGTCAATGCCACAGACTATGTAAAAGATAATTGCATTCATACGTTTAAGAGTTTTGTTAATTGTTAAGCAATCCGTGTGGATAACAAAATATGTGTCTACAGATACTTTTTTATTTCCTTAATTTGAATAACTCCCAACTAATTGACCTGATTGCTGCATAGAGAATTTTCTGACAATAAAGAAATGCAACGGAAGCAGATACCCGAGGAAAAAATGAGCTCGTACTTATAGTTTGAGTCAGCAGTGAAACTGTTTAAATTATGTTCTCCCTGCAGTATACTGACTTTTGACTTTTCGGTAGTTTTTCTACTCATATTCACCATAATTACTGACAGAAGCGCACAGATCCATGTCTTCCAAAGGGGCCTTGAGGAATTTCAGCAAATGAGCTCTTTTAACATCCTCATGCGATGACATACTGAGGATGACTCAGTTCATGATGTTACTGTTGCATAATATTCACTTAAAACATCGCCCGAATGCATCGATTGCAGACATCTGTATATGCTTCCTTTTTTCATGTAAACCCTGCAGCCATTATGTTTGCTGTCTTAAATAGAACTGAAGAAAATAATCTAGTGATCTCTTAAAGAGAAGAAATGATGAACAACTGTACTGTATAAAACCAGTTATACACAGATATAAATAAAGTGATAGTTAACAACGTGACCCTATTGTGTTTTGTTGACATTTGCGATACCTCCTCAGTCTCACAGACCCACTGCTGTTTCTCAAATAATAATGTTTTTTTCTCCTTTAAATATGTTTTTCTCATTAAAACCTGGTATGTGGGAATGTATTGAGGAAGTTACTTTTCCTTTTCAACCACAGTGAGCTTGCACATTTGATAAAGGTGACAAAATACCAACCAAATAAGATAAGTTGTTATTGTTATATGGGCTTTGCTTTTATATAGTTACATTGTGATGTTATGTATTCCACTTCAAAATTCAACATTTTAAAAAGCCTCTTCTATCAACGCCTATTTTATTTGATATTATCTTTTAACGTATCTAATTGTTTTGTAATTTATTTCCCTTTTAGAAGTATTAATTCTCATGTGCATTGGTCTCAGTTGTTTTGCTGTTTATATTTGTCTTATTTTCGGCTTGTCAGTCATCTGTAAAGCACTTTTACTAAAGAGGTGCTAATGTTTGATCAAGGTAGTATGAACAAACTGTTATAAAACAATAACAGAAATCTAAATGGACTTGGGTGAGGTGCGTATAAAGTACTGTCAACATTTACATATGTGAAACCTAAATCTGTTGTATTTAATTAATATATGTACAGCTAGAACCTGTGAGACCCTGCACAGATATACCTATTATTTTCTGTAGTGGATACAACTATTTTTTTAGCTGATTTAGATGCAACAAAACAATAACACTATCTGAAGATGCACCTCATGCATTTGTGCAATCTGCCATCTGACACGCTTCCCCGGTTATCATAATACTATGTTCATTCAGCCTGTGGTGCCAGAAATGCAGGATAAAGAAGAGCTGGTTCCTGGTACCAAGGGGATCCTTTAGAAAAGAGCTCCATACATCAGGCTGACGAGGGTTTCTGAATTCAAAACAACAATGTACAGTAGGTATACGTATAAAGATGTGTTTCAGTGCACCCCCGAACAAAATATATATGTTGCTCCAAATGTTGATGTCATAGCAAAGCAGCAACTTACTGAGATATGTTTGTATCAATGTATTCGTTTAGATTGACGTAGGAGGTGAAATGATGGGTCGTCCTGTTTGCTGCTCTGGTGTTTTGAATCCTACACCAGACCTTGGTCATATATCACCTGCCTCTCCTGTCCCTCTGGACTCTGTCCACTGGAACCGAAATGTGCAGTGCAAAGCCCAGTGACCCCAGAGCTGAATACTACCCACATTCATTTCTCCTGCATCCCTCCCCCTCATGTCTCCCCCTCGACCTCCCCCAGTGTCTCGCTTAACACTGAGAGTAAATCCCCCAAATGTCCTTAAGAATTTACAGCAGAGAAAGATAACTGCTGTGACATTAATCTGACTTTATTTTTTATAGATATTGGACATCTTTAGAGGGCAAATATATTACATATGCTATACTTTAATGTGGGTTAGCCATTTTTAAATTCCCCATGAAGACAATCGGAGATGTCTTGAAAATGTTTTACTCCACTGTAGCATATAAGATTGTAGGAGGCTGTGTGTCGGCAGGTTATTTTCATCGCTCTGTCATCTCATATTTTGGGTGGTGGTTGGCTTTTATATATACATTTGTGTGTGTGTGTGTGTGTGTGTGTGTGTGAGTGTGTATGGTGGGTAGAACCCCACTGCGCGCCGCCTCTCCATCAGTGCGTGTGCACGAGTGTCCGCAAAGCCGCCGCTGCTGCTCTCCAGGAGCGCAGTACCATCCACAAACTTTGATGAGCCGTAACCTTCACCAAGGAAACAAAACGTGCCGAATACATTTTTTTAAACGTATTTTTTTTCCAGCTTGCATCCGCTAATTCGGTTCGATCAAGGTGAGTAACCTGCGAGCTTCAAATTACACCGACGTGTTGACATGTTTTCGTAAAAAAGGATGGAGCTCCTGTGTGTTTATATCCGACTGTTTTGCATAATCTACAAGTGGCTCAGGAACCAGTGTGAAGTTTATGAGAATGTCATGGTTTTGCACGTTATGATGTTTTTTGGGGTTGTTTTTTTCATTTGAATCTGTGATTTTCGCGTGCGTTTTTCTGCCTCAGTCACACTGGTGTTACCTTATTTACCTTAATTATTAGCGTTAGTATCAACCGCCACATCAGTGATTGCCATGTAAATGTTTTCCATGTAGTGTTATCAATTTAGTCTTATTTTTAAGTAGTTGTTTTTTTAACAGGTGTCAAAATGGAAATCACTCCGGTTGAAATATTCAAAGAAGACAATAAGTGCCTGCTTGAAGACTGTCCGGTAAATTCTTCAGCCGAGAGCCACAATGTGACCCACGATGATAACTGGGAGCCGGAAGGCATGTCTCCCATCATCCCCATCATCACTGCAGTCTACTCCGTGGTGTTTGTGGTCGGCTTGTTGGGCAACTGCCTCGTCATGTATGTGATCATCAGGTAAGTTCATTTTAAGTATAATACAAGAAGGATAAAGATCAATGTTTATGTAGCAATATAATAGACATGTTATTGTGATTTAAATCTGAATTCAAAGATGTATTGTTGACAGGAAGGATTCTGGAAATTGAGGAAAAATAAGACAAGTCTTTTGACACATGCAGTGGAGTCTATATGTTTTTAGAAATACAGAAAACAACAGAGGCCCATGCAGAAGAATGTGTTCCTCCACAGTCACTGTAAATGTTATTGCTTCTGGAGAAGGCACTGGCACCAACCCTTGGGCTTTCACAATGACCTCAAGGCCATCTGTCATAGTTATTCTTAGTGCCCGTATACTCAATAGAGACAGGTCCTCTTAAGTGGCTGGGACAGCATCTAAATATATATTCATTTTAAAACTAGTAAGTCACAAGGGACACAAATTGTTAAGATTAATGTTGTTATTTTTAATTCAGTGGTAAATGTGTAAACTGTAAAGCATCCAATATGGCATTGATTCTGCCATCTTTAAAATTGGCCTTTTTTTTATGAATCTAATAACCCTCAAGCTCCAAAATATGGTAACAATATTCTGTACATTTCCCTCAGCCTGGTGGACATGATATTAATCGTAGTGGAAACCAGTGGTGCTTTATCAAACTGATAGCCTGCTTGCACCTCATTGGCTCTTATTTATGTTGTGTGAGAGTCAACAAATCTCCTTTTTATGTAATGTGAAATGCAGCAGTGGCATCCACAATTACCTGAAATCAGATTGATTGCGACGCCTGTCGGTGGAAGCCAATTTTATTTGTACGTTTTACAGTTGAGTTGCTCCGTGGAGGACGATTCAACTGCAGTAACAAGGTGTTTTATGATGATTTAGTGTAAACAACATCTGAAAGTATCCCCATCCAAACACTAAAGGTACAACGTCAACATGGGACATTAGACGTTGAGCTATAAGCCATTAGTAGAAGTATCTGACATGGCAGTGCAACCTTTATGGCTTTAAAGCTGTTTGTGCTGTTAAAGCTGATCAATGTTTTTTCCATTAACATTGGATCAAATTAATTGGTTTTGATTCACTCTCGCGGCTCTCATCTCTGTTGTTTCCACTCTCAGCAGACAGACAAAGCTCAGATAAAAATAAGCTACCTGCTCCACAACAAACAACAATTACACAAGTTAGCAAAGTTAGTGTCTAGCTGGTGAACATAGTGGAGCATTTAGCAGCTAAGGAGCCAGATATTCCACTCAGGAGTTGGTGGAGACCAAAAGCAGAGCTAAAAGAGAGTGAACATCAGACTTTCATTTTGGGTTCAAGCAGTGTGGATTAATGAAAAATGTTGATTTATGATGAGCCAAGAAGGAAGGTCTTCTAAAGAGTCAGGCAAACAATATAAGGCTGCTTGTCCGTCTCTAGGTGGATGGTATAGCTCTGGTCATCTCTCTCCTCCTCACTATCACATGCATGTTCAACAGGTACACAAAGATGAAGACAGCCACCAACATTTACATTTTCAACTTGGCTCTCGCCGATGCACTCGTCACCACCACAATGCCCTTCCAGAGCACGGACTACCTGTTGAACACCTGGCCCTTTGGCGAGGTGGTCTGCAAGGTCTTCATCTCCATCGACTACTACAACATGTTCACCAGCATCTTCACCCTCACCATGATGAGTGTGGATCGCTACGTGGCTGTGTGCCACCCGGTGAAGGCCCTGGACTTCCGCACTCCGATCAACGCCAAGATGATCAACGTGTGCATCTGGATCCTGTCGTCAGCGGCGGGCATTCCTGCTTTTATCCTGGGTGGCACCCAGACGAAGAGCGGTGAGGAAGAGCTTCCGCCATCCTTTTAATAACCTTGAAAAAGATGGGGGACTCATTTTAAGAGCAGAATATATATTCTATCATCTATCAGTGCAGAGTTTTCTATTAGCCACATATCATGCATCATCCTTCCTGAATATAGATGACGTAAGAAAAAGTTTAGAGCAAAATGTTCCCTTTCGAGTGCAGATTAGATGTTCCATAACCGCTCGCTAAATTGATAGCATAAAGGAACAGAGTGGAATTCTATTACGATAAAGCACAAGTGCACTTCATCACTTAATTCACTTTTTCTGCCCTCCTCTCCCCTTTGCCCCTGCAGACATAACCGAGTGTGCCTTACAGTTCCCAGAGCCGTACGTGTACTGGGACACGCTGATGAAGATATGCGTGTTCGTCTTTGCCTTCGTCGTGCCTGTGCTCATCATCACCGTGTGCTACTCCCTCTTGGTCCTGAGGCTGAAGAGCGTCAAAATGTTGTCCGGCTCGAGGGAAAAAGACCGCAACCTGCGGCGGATCACGCGGCTGGTGGTGGTCGTGGTGGCTGTGTTTGTGGTCTGCTGGACGCCCATTCACATTTTCATCCTGGTCAAGGCGCTCGTGGGCATTCCCGAAACCACCGCCATCATGGCCGCCTACTTCTTCTGCGTGGCTCTGGGCTACACCAACAGTAGCCTGAACCCCGTCCTGTATGCCTTTCTGGATGAGAACTTCAAACGCTGCTTCAAGGACTTCTGCCTCTCGACCAAACTGAAGGGGGACAAGGTGTCGGGGAGCAGGAAGACCCCCAGCGCGAGGGAGGCCGCCGTTCCTCTGGGGAACCAAGATGGGACTAGAAAGCCCACATGACTAGCAGTGGAACTGTCTTCAATTTCTCACATTGGAAAAGAAGACTCAAATGACCTGGGCCTAACCCATGTCACATCAGCAATGTAGTTCTGTCTCTATTACAGAGTTGTTCCATTATCACTTGTGTTTTAACCAGTGCCAACATTTTATTTCAGAGATCAAATGAAAGGTTCTCGTTATAAATAGTGCGCCACGTTGATTCATATTTTTCCTCATGACAGATTGTGTATTTAGATGGAAGTGAACTGGGAGAGAATTTGGTTTAAGACCAAAATATTTGTCTATAACAGTAAACATTTCCTTTCCAAGAAAGAACTGAACTCATTAATTATATAGATTACACGTATTCCTATGAGTGGGACGTCCCCAAACAATATCACAGAAGAGGTAATGAGAATATGATGCCAACATTTCCCAAGAAAATTGTTGATTATTTCATGCGAAAAACCGAAAATTGTAACATGATTGGCTCCTTCACACATCAGTGTTTTTATGGTTGTATGCTCATTCAATTTTGTTCATGCTTTTTTTCAAATTCTCTGCATTCCTGTCATTTCCAACTATAATGTTTCTATCACCAAATGTGCCTTCAACAGTCCAGGATAACGGATGTTTGTAGCAGCGGAAAATGGTTTCAGTAATGATGAGTGAGTGGGGTCAAACAGCAACTGTTTTTTTTAAATGCAGTTAACATGTTAGTGGTATAGCTGCATGAGTCACTGACATCACGTATGTGCCATAAGCCTTTTCATTTCTGTTTGAAGGTGAGCGTTTAAATTGTGCTGATTGACCACAATGTGAGAGACTCATGGTCGAAAAAAATAAAACTCAGCAAACCGCATCAAAGTTTGAAGTTCGTCGATGAGAAATGTTTAAAAATCCTGGACTGGAATGTGCTTTTAAAATTTGAAAGAGGGCTCTGTAACAGCTTTGACTCTGGAGTTGTGTCCAGTTTGATAAGTTGTTCAATTTATGGTATATATTTCAATCACATGTGATTTGTGTGGCGTTTTACTATGATCCTATTGAAACACTCACGCTATTATTGTAGGGAACTGTTCTCATCAGTGCAATCTGAAAACATGAATAGCTGTTTAAACAAGTTGGTTAAATACCATTTCTTCTGTCAACTGTATGATAGTATATACGTTATTTTGTATAGATAACAAAAATGACTTTACGCAGACATTGAAATATACTGTATTCGTAGCATGTCAATGATCATTGCTATGATAAAGCAGCATCGGCAGCCTGTATGCTCGATGGGCTGTGCTGTTATGTTGAATGTACTGCAAATAGACTCTGTATTATATAAACACATGATCGCTCATGGTATAAACTCATACATCACATTAGAGGTCAGCTACATAATTCAGAAATAAAATCCATTTTCAGAATCATTCTGTTTCTCTCTCGTGTCCCTAAACCAGAGCTTTGTGGGTTTGGGGAAACTGTTTTTATTATTAACAAATCTCTATGTAAACTGACATAAAAATAGATAAAAGCACAGACGTTCTGTTACTTGACAACAAAATAAGAGACATTATTCTAAGAAACTCCACTGTGACCAAGACATCCTTGTTTTCTTTTCAGGCTCTGTGCTTAGCGTTTAAATCTGCTGCTGCTGTATATTGGCTTTGACGTGTTGATTCAAAACATACTGTGCTTGAAGCGCTAAATATTAAAGCAAGTTTAACAAACATTGGTTTTCTTCTCTTGCAGTGACAACTCATCTTGTTGTCAGTTTTTATTTGTAAACTCTGTAATATTTGACTGTGATACTCTGCCAGAAATGTCTCTCTATGTTTGCACTGCATCAGTACTTTGAATATTTTTGTTTTGAAATAAAACGCTGTCTCTCAAGGTGGCTTATTTAAATCTCACTTTGATAAATAAAGAGCAGTTTTAGTTTTTACAGATGAGTGTTAGTGAGGTTTACTGTAAACCAGCAGCTCCCTCCAGAGGACACAACATGTAATTACTGATATATATACAGTACATATAAATATGTCTATATATATATATATATATATATATATATATATATATGTGGAAGGGAAAGAAAAAAATAGATCTACAGTGATTGA